CTTCTACAGGAGACAAACCCTAAGATTATATCACCAAGAAGAGTCATCCACCAAGAGATAACAGTTATGTACACAAATAGCAAAGAGGGCCTTAAAGTAAATGAAAAGAACATTTACAGAATTGAAGAGAAACAGACTACAATAATCATGGAAGACTTTGTTATGCCATATTTGATGATGAATAGAAAAACAGACCAGAGAGGGGAAAGATAACTTGGAACACTACTGTATGTCAACTAGGCCAAACCAATGTAAACTAAGCACTGTACCAACAGAAAGCAGAACACACACTCTCAGCAAAGGGACAAGGACACTTCTCCAGGATAGACCCTCCAAATAGTTGGAGATAGATAGTTAGAGATAGATAGACAGATAGATAGTTGCCCCCTCCAAATTCTCAATGTATTTCAGAAGATTGAAATCATTTGAAATATCCTCTCTGGCAAAGATGGAATGAAGATATTTGTCAGTAATCCAAGGAAAACTGGAAGAAACATCAACCTCTGAAAATCAACACAGTCTTAAACTACCGATGAGTCAAAAGAAAATCACCAAAGAAAGTAGATTTTGTTAGAGATTAATGAAAATAAAATTTGCAACACATGAAAGCTTATATAATAAAAATATTGCTCAATGAGACCTTAATTCCAATCAGCACCCACATTACTTCACCAGGGGCTGGTGAAGTAGCTCGGCGTATGAAGACACTCACCAACAGGCCAGACCCCCTGAGCTCAATCCTGAGCACAAACAAGGTAGAAGGAAATAACTAGACCCCCTCAAGTTGTCTCTGATCATCACACACCATAAACATATAAATGTGATGAAAAAGACAAGAAAAGCAAGCAAGCAAAGCAGGGGTGGGGAGCTAGCTCTGCCAGAAAATGCTTCCTTCCAAGCATGGAGACCTGAATTTGATCTCCAGAAACCAGGTAAACAAGTAAATGGGGCTTGGCGGTGGGCTCTTGTAATTCTATTGGTAGAGAATCTGAAGTAGGTGGAATAAAGTAAGACCCTGCATATTTCAAAGAACTAGAAAGAGAAAAATAAATTACCAGGGGAAAGAGATGAACACAGATTAAAGGAGGGATAAGTAAAAGAAACAATAAAAAAATTTTAAGACTCAATAAAATAAAAACATCTGGATTAGTTGTAACTACACTAATACAGACGTCAATAACAAAGGAAACTGACTTGAAGGGAGGAGGTAGGATGATAGACAGGAGTTTATAGTTCCTGCTTAATTTTTTTCTAAAATTGTTCTAAGATAATTTAACTGACTTAAATTGTTTATGATTAAAGAGCAAATAAAACTGCAATTAAAAACTGTAAGGAAACGTGCACAGTGAGCTTGTGTAAGATCCTGGGGTCAATCCTCAGCATGTCCCATGACTACCCCATGCACACCTCCAAAGTAAAACCAAATCAGTCCTACTGTAAACTTAGTCTGATATGAAAGTGAGATATAAACAGCTACCAGATGTAGTTAAAATGGTGCTAAAATTCCCTAGGCTTCAATATTATTAGAAAACAATAAAGGCTTAAAAATACATAGCTAAGCAATCAACCAGGAACTGAGAAAAGTAAAATAATCTTTAAAATATCAAGAAAATATTAACAAAGGTAAGCCAAAAGATGTTTTTATAAAGCTAAGTATAAAATGTCACACCCAAGGGATTAGTTCTGTGATATACAGATCAAGAAAAAGAGAGAAAAAAATAAGTACTAGAAAATTACGGAAAGGGTAAAAAAAAATGTGTAGGATATTATCCTATTTGTCTATAAATTTGAAAAAAAGTTGATCAGAAGAATTTCTTTAAGAATAGTTTCAAAAGCCTGCACAGATTCTAGCCAGACAGAATCCCAGCACTGAAAAAGAGGAAGTGGACACCACCTCCCACCCTAACCAAGAAGCTGTCTGTAATTGATATTCAAGGTAAAAGAAAAATCAGTTTTCTACAGCGAGGTCTCACTGGGTTTGTTAACTACACTTCAGGCATGCCCGGTGCCCAGGAATGGCTGGCCAACACAAAACAAACTCAATAGTATTTTTGTAGACTTCTTTTTTTTTTTTTGGTATCATTTTGCTTTGTTTAGATTTTTTGTTTGTTTGTTTTAATGGTCTTTTGCTTGTTTATTTTGATTTCCATTTGTGTGTGTGTTTCTTGGGGTTTTGTTTTTGTTAGAGAGAGAGAGAGAGAGAGAGAGAGAGAGAGAGAGAGAAGGAAGAACACAAGGTTGGGTGAGTAGAGAAGCAGGGAGGATCCGGGAAGGATTGGAGGAGGGGAAACCATGATCAAAATATATTGTATGAAAAAAATTTTCAATTAAAGATTACTTTTCAAAAAAATTGTCTTCCAAGAAAACCTACACTGTGTGAAGAAAAAGCACTAAATTTGCAAAGATATAAAACAATAGAAGTCGTTGGAAAAGGTTGTGCGTAGTGACTTGCAAGCAGGAACACCAAGGTCGATGCTTTGGATCTCTTCCCTAAACATTTCGAGGAACAGACCACGTGCGTGAAACTGTCATCAGAATATGGAGTGTTTCAGCATTTTTTTTCTCACTTACTTTCTGAAAGTAAACTTTAGTATCGAAACTCATCACTGATAGCTTCCATAAAATGAAAATATAGATGAATTTGCCTTATGAATATGAATGCAAAAATTCTCAGTAAATCACAAACATGTGCTTTCCAGTATGTATTTTCTTAATGTAAACTAGAGACAAGATAATCAATTTGGACACACATTTTTCCTTCCCTCCTTGGATGTAACTTTCGAAAGCTGTTTGCAGGGAGCATATGAACAGCTGCTTTGTTTATAGATCTGCTTGCTCTGCCTGGATAGGGCTCCTTGGCTTCCAACCACATGGTTTCCCTTCTTTTCTGTTAGTTTGAGCTGTGAACCGAATTGTGAAGCCAAAGTGAGAGAAGAGAGGCGTCTAAGCATGTGGATCGAAGAGAAAAAGGAAATGTGTAGGCTTGGTTTGGGTTGATCAACCAATTTTATTATTTGAATCCGAGAAATAACAGAATACAGTTTCTAATTATAAATCAGCTCGGTCACAGAAACACAGCGGCAACTTGATTTCTGCTAAGTCTTTTAAAATAGCAGATCACTGCCTCATTGGAAATGCTGAAATCAGAGAGTTATCTCTAATGTTACAAAAGACATTGAATATTAACATTTATATTTTTATTAAGTGCACCCTTAATAAGTCAGGATATATATATATATATATATATATATATATATATATATATATATATATATATATATAAGCATTTCCCTCAAGCCAACAGCCAATCTCATTCTTCATATTAACCACTGGGGAAATTCCCCTGAGATCAGAAATATAGAAATATAACAGGCGACTGCTTGCTTCTCTGCTATCAAGCCCTGATCCAGAAATTCTAGCTGGTATGGTGAGAAAACAAGGAGGAAGTATGTCACATGTTCCTTTTGATGTAGAAATCACATATAAATTGGATAATTTTGAAAGAAATAGATTGATAAAATGACAAGATAAAAATTATGAAATCGAGATGTTAGCTGTAGTTAAAACACACTAGAAAGAAGATGCAATCAGGGATAATTCCCTTATTGTGCACATAAGAAGGAGACAAAGCTTGGACTATATTCTACTATTTATATCTACAATGTATAATGTAAAGGACTCCATATGCTTACTGAGGCCTCAATACATAGAAAGACAGGATGGTCACAGACATGAGGGGTTTTTACTACATGGACAATCATTTCCCTTAAGTTAGTGAACACATTTTCTAAAATTCCAACCAGATGGTTTTCCCAGGGGGAATTTAACAGATTTGTTTTGAACCATCCTGGTAGCCATAATCACAAATGTTTAAGAGAAATAATTGGACATCGCTCTAGAATCCTCGTCGGCTTCTGGGCATCATTTTAGGCACGATGAGTTGACATACAGTTCCACATCCCCCAGAGGCAGACTAGTGTGCTAGGTGTATACTTACACCATCGGAACTGTCTTCCTAGGGGACCAGAGAGATGGCAGTGGATGAGTGAGAAGGGACACAGTTTCCAGGAACGACTTGATTATTCTGTGACTTGGACGAAGTCATTTTCTCTTTTCCCCATCCTACTGCAGCTTGGGTAAAACATCCCAAACATTAGTCTGACCCCTGTTAAAGGGCAGGGCAGCGATGATAAAAAGCCAGGGGAAATGAACTGGTAAGAGGTTTTAAGCCTTGTCTGACTATGCCATTGAACAAGTACCCCCGAAAGTATACAATCATTTCCCTCTAACAGACACTCCTATCGAACGTCTGAAAACATGACAATATTGACAATAGTTCTTGATATTTAATTTATGATTATCCTTAAGAAAATAATATTACGTAGTCTTCAACATTAATTATGGTGATGAAGATAAAAGGAATTGTTGGTAGCAAAGTAAGATGTGATTCCTGTATTTAGAAATCCTTAAAAGGCTAATAATTGATGCCATAAAATATTCATACCACATATTTCTTATGAGACTAAAAGTAAGCAAATTTCCTATTTGAATGGACACATTTGATCATGCTGGGATTGATTTTTTGAAATATCAGCAAAAAGTATGACTACATATTCTTTCAACTTACTTTCAACTTAGCAAGCTAACTTAGGCCAAATGTTTCTCAGTGTTATGGTATTAAAAAAAATCACTTCTTGAGAAGACTTACATATCAGCTATAAACCTACAAAATTCATTTCAATTAAAGACATAAAAAAAATTCTAGCTTAAAGGTTAGAGGAAAAGAGAAAAGAGCCACAAGTGTTCTAAGTTTTCCTTGGATTCTGGCTTTTTTAAAGGCCAGATTTCTAACTGTGACAATGATGACAGAGACATTACTGACTCGTGTCAGGGGCTGCTTAGCTGACTGGTACAGGAATGGCACAGATCTTGCCGTACTTAAGGCATTCCAACCCCCTTGCTATGCTAACAGTGAATAGGAATTAGGAAGATTTGATTACCTTGTTTCCAGGTTAGCCGCTTCCCTTCACAGACTGCTTTCCTTTAAAGCTGTAGGCAGGTACACATACTGGAAGCCATTTGTTTGCCCCGGCTCTACTGCGGAGTGGGGCTGCCTGAACTGTCCAGAGCTCTCCCTTGTGTTGAACTGGGGACTTCCACTGAAAAATCCCCTGCCTTGAGGACTTCCTTATTTGTAACCATCAACAGCCAATCAGGGCAAGATATTGAAATGAAGCAAAAACTACCAGAAAATGTTCTGAAACCACCCGTGACTATAACTCTGACTTCCTTTTGAAGCAATGATATTTCACCTGAATAGTGAAGGCATTAAAAAAAAATTAGAAATTGTAAACATGGAATTTTGGGGAAGAAACATTTTTCATGTAGAGAGTTTTAAAGGTGAGCTTACTTGGAAAATGGCATTTTAGTCATTGAGTCGCATTTGACCCCCAAATCTTTGTGTTTATAAATAACAAAACCCAAATTTTCTTTGTTTTCTGACTTACAGAGGTCACTTGGCTGAAGCCTGGGGAAAAAAGAAATAAGGCATAACTTAAGATTCTAGAGTGTGACCATTGATATTGGCAAGAAAGGTAAAAGCCAAGATGTCTCTTTTGACAGAATTTCCAGTTTGAGACATTGGTCGCCGTCTACATAGATGACCACATGTTCTAGCACAAGGGGCGGGAAGTGCTTCTCTCAGGCCATGGGGAACTAACCTGTAAGATTTACATGCACATGGAAGGCAGCGATATTTGGACATTTTTTTTGTCATAAAATTTTAGACCTGGAAATTTAGACACCTTCTGTCCCATTTCCCTTTTGCTACAGAGGAGGAAACAGGGGAGAAGGAGCCCTCGGAGTCACCAAGTTAGGAGCATCAGCTGCTATATGTGGTCTGTATCTAAGTGCAACTTCATACTCACCCTGTGTGATCTGAATCTAAGTGTGATTTCATACTCAGGGCACTGTGCTCTCCTGTGGCAAGGCCAGGGACCAGGACAAAACTGGATACTGTGGGCAGTCTCCCTGCTGAGTTAGAAAGTCCTTGGAGGCATCCCCCAGAATTCCAGGGAATAGAATCGGAAATTTACAGTTTCTGATTCGTGGTCTGGTTTCGTTGCCACGTTAAAGCACTACCATCTCTTAAATTACATTTTAAACATATCAGAGGTACTGCTGTGTCTTGTGGAATTATTCTCTAAAACTACATTTTTTTTTAAGTTTCGAAAGTGCTGAGTAAGCACATAATTAAAACTGTTCCCTTTACTCGTAAATACACAGTGAGGCATTTCTTCCAGTGTTGTGTACTTAGAACAGTCTCACCGAGGAAATAGCGAATATTAAACCTGATTTTGTGCAATGGAAAACAAGATCTAGCAGCGTAAGTACAACCAAGAGAAATACCAAAAGCTTAAGGTATCATTGGTGTGAGGAGTTTTACTCCTTAGGAATTTACAGTTTATGAAGCAAGCTTTTAAAAGTACATTTTTTTTGGGGGGGAAGAGGTGCTCCCAAATCGACCAGGAAATACTCCCATTTCTGTTCCCCCATCCTGTCCTGCCTCCCTCTGTTATTTACTTTGGCCATTAAGTTTGGCTGAAGATCAAACTACTGAAAACTGGCTTTTCCTGGAATATTGGCCTCAACCAGGTGGGACACAGAGAAAGGCTTCCAAGACCACGGTATAGAAGCTAAGTTAGAGATGCTTTCTGAAGAAGTTATGTGCAAGCGTGTGAAATTAAAAGCCCAAGATACCATTGACTAATTTAGACTCTCGGCAAGGTAACTGAATATTTTACCTTGTTGTCTTTATTGACGCCCTTGTCTATTCCTGCCCCCTAGTCTACCTTTTCATCCTCTCAGAGAAATTCCAGTAGGAAAAGAAGAAGCAGAGAGTCATAGGTGGTAGGGGAAAACGAACGTCAAGCCCAAGTTAGGGGTTGGGGGGAAACTTAGGTGCTCATTCAGACAGACAAACGCCCAAGATTTGTTGGCTAACCCATAAAAGCAGCAGCACCATGGGGCAGGCGTGTTCTCAGTGTAAGTCCGTGTGCAAAGTCTCCCCATGAAGAATCCCCCATGACTGTTCTTTCCCCCTGCCTCTGACAAAGTACAAGACAAGGTCTATTTGCTAAGTGCTAACTGGGATTTGGTGCTGTTAACGGCTGTGTTTCAGGGAGACTCTGAGACCTGTGAATCCAGACAAGAAGTTAGGTAGGTATCTGTCAGGCACAGGAGTAGATGGTTAAACTTTACTTAGGTTATTTCACCAGGCACCTAGGAAGATGCGTGTTCCTGGGGCTTCTGGGAGTAGAAACATTTTCCTGGCTCTCATTGTTGATAGGCGAAAGCGCTAAGATTTTGTTGGTCTATAACCACAGCGGGACCGACTGATCCTGGCATGCAAATTACCATCAAAAACCTTACTTCCCTAGCTTCTATAAACTATGTGCAGAAGAGAGTAGCTGACCATGCGAGCTTGCAGCTTACTATAAATTTATGCCAAATATTTCTTTCTTAGTGGTGATACTTATGTTTGGTATCTGAAGGGACTCTAGCCAGCCCAAGCATGGTAAGCACGGCTCTGGCAGGCCTTGCCCTTCTCCCCATTCCCTCTGCCTTGCTAAGAACGGTTAGATTACATTCCTAAACCTAGCCACCAAGATCTACTCTCTTATTTGACCACTTTCTCCTCCTGAGACTGACACCCAAGGTCTAGTTATCAAAGTATTGAAGTCCAGAAATCAAAAGCCCCCTTTGATTCACCTAATTAACATGACCAGTTCAAATTAAACACCACATCTTCACACAGGGTTTCCCATTTATATATATAAATATTTTCCCATGAGCCACTTCTGCCTCCACTCTATCCAGAGGCAGCCCTTTGCCATCTTTGCCATCCCCTCAAGAAAATATCCACTGTCTCCTCTCCTTAGTTCTCTTTCCCTCCTCACCCATCCTCTATTTCCTGTCTTTGTCTCCTATTTGCCCTTTGTCCCTCTGGGGCAAATAAATCTCCTTTGTGCTGAGAACTTGATCTTGGGGGTCCTGAGCCGATATGGATCCTTTCAGTATCCAAGTTCCATAATATTTAGGGCTAGCATGAATGGGTGGGGACTATGAGGAGAGGAGCTAGCTAGGGAACTAACTTTATTTGTTACAATTCATATATATACATATATATATATATATTATTCTTTGGAAGTTCTATACATGTACATCCTTGCAACAAGCCATGTTTTATGCCCCCAGTTCTGCCAAAACTTTTCTTTCTCCTAAGAAGCCCATCTCCTACCTCATGTCTTTGTTCTGTGTGTATCTAACTAGGGTATGAGCATGGGTGGGAAATTCTTTACTGAAGCGTAGGCAACTTGTCAGTGGCTACATTGCTAAAGAAAGTGACACATCTTCCTTCAACCACCATTGACTGTCACTAGTCCCCCAAGAAGGTAGAGGGTCTCATTAACCCTCCCCTCTTTCATAATGAAATATTGACAAACTGAATCTTGAGTAAGCCTTGTGTAGGTGACCACAGCTCCAGTGAGTTCAAGAATACACCAGACATATTGGACCCAGAAGAACCTTTCTCAGACTCTCCTCCAACCTCCTGTTTTTATATTCCTTCTACCCTCTTCTAAGATATTCCCTGAGCTTTTGGAAATAGGAAGGAGTGTTACAGGTTTATATTTAAGCTATAATTCAATGATTGGCCTTATATCAGTACTTGTTTAATTGTTTGTTTAATAACCATCTATTACCTATTTCTTGAACTCTGGGTATCAAGCTTTGGAAGCGAGTGCTCTTACACACTGAGCTATCTCACCTGTCTGAGCTCATGAGCTTAAGATCGCTTGCAAATGACCATTTCTCATCTCATTGAGAAAGATGAATGTAGGATATGTCAGTCACCTTTATGTCACCGTGACAAAACATCTGAGAACATGGGTTAAGTGAGGAAGGATTTCTGCAAACTCTTGATCTCACCGATTTCATTCACTTCACGGTTATGTGATTCTCCTGCTTCTGGGTGCTTGTATGGTGAGGTAAAACATCGTTGCAGAGAGTCTGCAATGTCACCTAGGAGACAGAATGATACCAACACTCTTAGAGCCAGGCTGGGACAAGGCACATCTTTTAAAGACACACTTTTTTCCAAGCAGGCACACCTCTTAATAACGCATCACTAAGCTACAAATCCATCAGTGGGTTAATCTGTTGAGGAAATTCAAACCCTTATAATCCAGTCACTTTTCAAATGCTCACCATCTGGCTGTCAAGCTCTTAACACAGGCCTTTTGTGTGGGAGCATGAGGAAACGTCATAGCCCAGTCACTGCATAATGTGACACCACTGTGTGGGCAAAGAGACGGTTCTTAGCTGGGAACTACTCATGAAGAGTAGGCATCGAAGAAGTAAAAGAATAAGGTCAAAACTTTACTTCATACTTTTCCATAATCTCAAAGAATTTACAGTTTCTTTTAGGTTTAATTTATGGCGTTTGCTTGTTCTTATTGCTTTTTAAGTAGCTTTCTAAAAGACTTCATTTGCTTGTCAATATTATAGGAGAGTATATACAGTTTTGATGACAGACATGATTTTAATAATCTTGGCACTTCTTAAAATAAAGTTTTTTAGGTATACAAGCTGAGCAGTTAAGAGGTACTTTAGGTTTATTATCTGGAGAATGGCAATAAAAGTAGGGTTTTAGGTTCCCTAGCCTTCTGTCAGGCTCATTTATTTGACAAACAGTATTATTGGCTATCCAAAGAAAAAAAGCTGTTGTGACAGATAATGGACTAAAGACTGATAGAATCAAAATCTAGAAATAGCTGCACACACTTTAATAACTGGCTGATTTCAACATGAATTTTAATAGGAGCAATTACAAAGACCCTACAAATGAAACAAAAGGGAAAATGCTACTTGTGCCTAGGAAGGGTGGATAAGACTCAATGTAGGGGCAGACATACAAAACCGACTTGAGTTTTACTCGAGGCAGTCATGTGGAATCGCTGAACAATACCCCAAACTAATAAGAGCCTTGGAAAAAAGGAAGCACCGTTCCTGCTTCCCAGCTGTCTCTGAGACCAAAGACAAACAACTATTGAATACTCATCCATGCCATAAGCACATGATTTCAGGAA